AGAACTCTTGTTATAATATACTCTTAAATTGCGGAATAAAGTTTGTATCTTGGAAGTTTTTATACTCCCTTCTTTCTCTAAAATACATGACGCAATTGACTTTTTCACAACATTTGACCATTCGTCTTATTTAAAATTTTAATATAAATATGTAAAAGTATAAGCTAAGATTATATTTTATTCAATGATAGAACATGTAAAAAATAATATTTATATAAAATTTCAAAATAATACAAATGGTTAAACTTTAAGAAAAAGTCAAACACGTTGTATATTTTGAGATGGAAGGAGTATTTTGGAACAAGGCTAGCCTGGGAGTTTCGTTTGTGCTGGCAGCTTGCCACACCTAAGCAAATTAATTAATTACCTCGTCTGGTTAGAGCTTTACTTTGATTTGTTTGGCCTAAGCTTAATTATTACCTCCTTTGGGTTGGGTACAGTACAGCTGTACAGGGATGGATCAGCCGGAGATGGGCTTAGGCCTTTGTGTTTGTTTACGCAAAAATGGCCCAGCCCAGTAGCCCAGTGCAACCCAAGGTGCGTGGCCCAGAGTTGACCTGCAGTGAGGCCCTAACCCGAATCCAATCATTTTTGGATGATGAAAGAAAGGGAAATCCAGGCATCAGAGGCACCGGAGACCGGACCACCGATCCCAGTGGCTTGAGGTTTGACACCTCTGACATCAGCCAAAATAGGGTCTTCACGCCATGTGTGCGCGCGCCTTGCACTCGCACGGACACTAGTCCAGTGCCAGTGCCAGTGGGTCTAAATGTCTAATGGATGAGTATGCGCGTGCGCGTGGTACAGTCGACACATGTTTAGCTCGGTTCATATGTAACTATCCTTCCGTGAGACGGACACTACCCTAAAAAGTTTAGTTTTTAATATAGAAACAATATTCTTAAAAAAACTTAAACTCAAGTATGGATATGAACCGGACACTACTTCTTGAGCATAAACTTTTTTTTTAAAAAAAAGAAGTGGAAACACGTGATGAAAGAAATAAAAAGAACATGACCATTTGCACGAGTCCGATGTGTGCAAAAGTCCGTGAATTAGCCGTTTCCGTCCAACACACTTCCTGATGGAGTGGTGGACAGGGGCAGAAAAGAAAAATAAGAGCTATTCATCTGGACTATGTTTAATTAGCACATTTTCAGCTAAATAAATCAGCGTGGGCCCACCGCTTGCTTTCTCCCTCGTATTCAATGGTCTTCTCTTTGGCAAAGCCCCTTGTAACGGTGTTGGATGAAAACAAAACAATAAATACACAGAAAATAGAGAAACCCTGTATTTTATTAATCAAGATTCATTAACATAAATGTTTACAAATACATGAGGGCTCCCGCAGAAGTTCGCCTTTTGCCTTCGCGAGGAATGCTTAATAAAAAGGTATGCTGACTGGAGATTGCGTGCAGTCCGCTGATTTCCGATGCCTAGCAATGAGGCTATCGATTAATTACATCTACAGGACGAGCCTATGGAATACCTCCGATTAAGCTGCGCTTTATGATCGTCGTCTTCAAAGTTGTTTGCTCGCCGAAGGTTGAGGTTGGTGCAGATTTAACGGTGAATATAGTGAATGTGGAACAAGTAGCTTTGTTTCGCCAAAACCCGGTCACAGTACACCACCACCACGTCGGAGTGCGGAGAGAATTTGGTGAAGCGGGTGACTTTTGCCTCGTCGGTGCCCAGTCATGTACCCTAGCCTTCATCAAACATGGATTTTATGGTTGCTTTTGCCTCGTTGGTGCCCAGCAACGGTGTATCCGGTTCCCGTCCATTTTAAATGTGTTTATAGTATAGTGACCTGTCCTTGTAGGCACTCGGCCATGGTTTCGTCTAGCCTCGTCGGTCATAGACAAATGAAATGAATGAATAGCTGTAGCCTTGTTAGCTTTAGCCAATACGTTGCCCGGCCTTGTCGGTCTCGGACATAGCATAAATATTGATAAATCGGCCATTTCATCTCGTCAACACTCGGCCACGATGTCGACGTGTGTTTTAAATTTGCACGCCTCGCCCTCATGGCTAGCGTTATTTTATTTAGTGAATAATGCTTGTCTTCAGAAATTGTGAGAATTGCTCCCGTCCATCTAGTAGAATTTGGAGAGAGAAAGAATTGCTCCTGTACATGACATGCACAAGGCAATATGTGACTCATCTGGCATGAATATAAATGTGTATAAATCTTGGTTGGTCTGATGCCAATAAGACTTAAACTCATCCCAAGTTTATATAAATAAATATCCACATCCACTATTTGATATTGATAATTTAGACGGTCCAACCCTCACGAGGGTCAGGCTCGCCTTGTATTTATTTGAAGCTCATGTTAATCGCTTGACAAAGATGACGTGTGCGTGTGCATGCGCCGCAGGGGATACTTATATCCATGGCTACAAGTTCACAACGTATCCACGACATATTCATCAGTACTCCACTTTACTGTTTTACCGTCCAGGCTGCGCAACTGCACAACACTACGGTGTATATTTGCTCCCTCTAGAAGATAATGCCGAGCTATGCATAATATCTGCATAGCACTACGGCGCCGTTATGTTGTCGATGACAAATAGCTTGACGGAGAAATTATGTTGATGAAGCGTGGCTCAATGGAAGGCGAATGATTAATTTGGAGTTGCACCAGCGACGATGAAGCAGACTCCTTGACGATTACTTTGCCTTCTCCCGAATCCTCCCAAATATTGTGTGGCTATAATATTCACCATCACCAGCTCAGGGCCTGTATCTTGGCGCAGCGCTTGGCGGCGGCGTGTACAGTGTGCGCCCCGGTGACGGCGTGTAAATTGTGTAGATGTTGGATATGGGATTGTGGAACTATAAGCAGATCAGAGAACACAGCAGAGTTGCCTGCTTACGTCTCCTCCTCTGCCAGCCGCCTCTGCGCCGGGGATTTTCTCCCATCTCCTTCCCTTGTTTTATAATTTGGGGCTCGCCCCCGGTATGTGCACCGTAAAAACATATGTTTTGATTATAAAAAATACGAGGATAGTCCGATCCGTAGATTAGACATATCAAGTTTATGTTTCAAGAAAAAGCAGATACGATTTGATTTTCATCGCACTCTAATTGTTGAGGAGAAAAGAGGTACTCCGATCATCCATTAGAACGACCGATTTACCAACAGGATTGGAGGAAATTATTCATCGTACTCACCGCCTAGCACGATCATCTCCGCCTGCGACATCAGCTCGACGGGGGAATGTTTAATCTCCACTGCACGGCGCGCCTGCTTGCGAGCCGCCGGCAAGTCACCGAGAAGTTTTTAATCTCCTTTTGCCTAATCAGAATTGAGCTCCTACTAAAATATTTGTGGGTGCATGTGCCGCCGGCCACCGGCGCAGGGCCTGCGTCTCTGCGCAGCGCATAGCGTCGGCGGCGCCGGCGTGGCGTGTATGTGCAGCGCCTTAGCGCTTCTGCATGGATGCATCTGCCAGTCCCCCGAGCAGTGGGAGTCAAGGTGCTTTATATAGGCAGATGTAGGGATGGATAGATCAGGCTGGGACTCTCAACCACGTCCGAATACAACGGCAAATCACGCGTGAATTTCCTTAGATAAGACAGCAAACAGCCTATTTGCACGAGATAACTACTGCCGATTAAATCATCCTGCTAATGACAGTGGGCCTCCTGTGTTTAATCTCCAAATTAGAGATAATGACTGCATGCTCACGTACCAAAGCAAGTAACGATAGCACTTGCTTATTTATTTTCTTTCCATAGCTCAAATCTTTTGAATCGTACATCGGATTTAAAATCTGTTTGAACCATTATTTTCTATTTAAATTATACAACAAACCGAGTCTAATATTGAATATATTTGAACGCCGCCTTGTATTTGATTTTCTTGGGCCCACGTGTCAAAGACACCCTTCATATATATTTTGGAAAATTGAGCGGCAAATTATATTCGAATATGAAATTAATGACCAATGATTTATCATTTTTTCTATAAATTTTGGTAAAAAAATCCATCAAACAAACGGTTCGATTTCGTCACCATCTGTAGTTGTGGCAGTGCTTCGTTTCGATGGCCATTGGTGGAAGAAACCATGAAGCATCCCAGAGCTTTAGTTGCAACGGCGGAGGACGGGTACACCGCCACATGCACTGAGCGAGAAGCATGGTGGTCTAGCAAGTTGCTCCCATACGACCAACGTGTATGATCTTTGTCCGACTAGTGCAGAATTGTTGCATGTCGATCTAGGCCCACATGGAGAGATGCTGAGAGTACTGATTGGTGGCCGAATGTGATATATGTAGTATGTATGGCTCTAATCGTATGAATAGCAGGACTCCTCTTCTTTGTGCTTATCACGCGCGCGGCCATTCACAATGGTCCATAATTATATTCCATATCACTAGTAGAGAGAGAGATCGACAAACTCTACTTCTTGTTGTAGAAGAACGGGGAATATATGCACACAGCGTATCGGAAAAAAAAATATTCGCAGCCGTTGAATCTAGATGGAAGGATTAGATGTGTGCTAATGCAGAATCCCCCGCGGCCATAATGCAGGGGAGCACAACATTATTTCTTAGTACGGGCACCATTCGAGTTTAAACTTTGACCGCCTTCCCCTGAAAATTTATAAATATTAAAAATATATTGTATTATCAAAAATATATATGTACAGTTATAAATATAATCTCATAGCTTTTATTTATCTTTATATAATAATCGTTTGAAAAATAGTTTATGGTCAAGATGAGATGGTGGTAGTCAACCGCATCAGTTACTCCTATTTCCTATTTTAAGAATGGATGGAGTAGCAATCCAGGTGGATAATTATCCTGGGGTTTGGTTGGTGGCCTGGTGCACGTCGACAACAGGAATGGTTCGGATTTGGATGCAGCTTGCTTGTGTTAGGTGTGCAGCGGCATGTCTGTCCGAACTAGTTGACGGCGACGGTTGTATGGTATTTGGTCACCAGAACTGACCACCGCATTGATCACGTCAACACACAGAAAAAACAAGAACAAAATTATTTCTTGTATTTATAGCCGAATTCCAAGCAACATTTCCATTCACCTCTTAAACAAATACTATACTAGACCGGTTTACATACAGTGTGTTACACAGATATCATCCAAAACTTGGTGAAACATGGAAACGCCCCTGATCCAAGCTAAATGAATCCAAGCCAGAAAAAAAAAACAGTAGAAGAAAATATAGTACTCCTCGTACTGTATACGTTGTCGTAATTCGTAAACAAACAAGCAAACGCCTTATAATTAATTTGATTAATTAACGTGCGCTTCAACCTAATAACCACCCCTCACCAAATTGATAACCTCGACATCTAACCACCCCCCGCGTTGGCACCAATTTGGCACGTACTAAGTACCCAGCCTGTAACCTTTTCCTTTCTTTTTGTACGTACCCATGCACATGCATACGTACAAAATGGTGAAAAGAAATGGTTAATTCACTACCTAAATCTTGAATTTCCCTCTCTTCTTCTATATATATCATTAATCCATAATTTGCTTTTAAGACAATGGAATAATAATAAAAATTTAACTTATTATTATTACTCCATAATCAATAATAATAACGAATAAATGATTTGATTTTGATTTTGATTTTGAATTTTACTCCATGGAGTAGCAGCACTCCTTGAATGCCTCGAGGTTGTGGTTGAAGACGGGGACGAAGGCGTCGACGCTGCCGTCGCCGAGGTACGACGGCACCAGGAACAGCATCCCCTCCGTCGGAAAGTACGACGGCATGAAGTAGGTCGGGCTGCCGGTGCCGAAGTCGAGCTCGTAGAACGGGAAGGTGAGCCAGCTGTCCACCTCGGCGTTCGGGCACAGCACGTCCTTGAGCACGGCGCTCGGCGCGAGCCCCTCCTTGTCGCCGCCGGCGCCGGAGAGGGCGAAGTCGAGGAAGGAGCGGAAGTAGGCGCCGTCGACGCGCGCCACCTCGTCGTGGATCACCTGCGCGGCGTGCTTGAGCGGCCGGGTGAGGAGGTCGCCGACGGTGGCGCGCGGGAACGCCCAGAGGACGAGGTTGCCGAAGTACTCCGCCGGCGCGCCGAGGCGGTGGCGGCCGTCGACGGAGAGGCGGATGGTGGAGGCCTCGTCGGGGCTGAGCCCGCGGGCGCGCGTCATAGTGCGCCATAGGTGGGCGAGGATGGTCTCGAACCGGCTGAACGGCCGGCCGCGCCCCTCCGACGCCGCCGCGCGGAGGCCGGCGATGAAGTCCTTGGTGAAGTGCGCCTTGTGGATCACGATGTTGTCCGCCGCGCCGCCGTCGCCGTGGCCGTGGCTGTCGTCGCCGGCGGCGGGGAGGTAGTACTCTCTGTTGCGGTGGTCGTGCTCGACGTGCGGCGAGGGGCGGGGCTTGAAGAGGGCGGCGTGGTGGTGCACGGGCGGGGCGCCCATGGGGAGCCCCCTGGTGGCGCGCCCCCACGCCACGAGGAAGTTGCTGGTGGCGTGGCCGTCGGCGACGACGTGGTTGGAGGTGAACCCGACGGCGAGGGAGCCGCACCTGAACCGCGTCAGCTGGAGCAGCACCACCTCCTGGAGCTCCCCCTCCAGGTCCGGGTGCAGCCGGAGCAGCTCCGGCGTGGGCTTCGCCGGCGCCATGTCCACGAGGTCGGCGTCCACCGCCGCCTCCACCAGCCGCGCGCCGCGGTCGTTCAGCACCACCGCCGCCTCGCCGTCGGGCGACTCCCCGAGCTGCCCCGCGAACGCGCGGTACTGCGCGAGCACCGCCGCGAGCCCCTTCTCGATGGCCGCCGTCGACGGCGCCGGCGGCGGGAACGCGTAGATGATCGCCATCTGCATCTTGTACGTCACCTTGTCGAAGATCGACAAAGGAATATACTCCACGTCGGGGGCCGCGGCGACACCGCCATTGTAGGCGGGCTTGACGAGCTTGCTGCTCAATACCTTGACCTCCATTGCTGTCTGAGCTAGTAGCAATCAATCAACTCAAGGAAGAAGAAGAAGAAGAAGGCAAGTAAGCTTGATTGCTTGGCTAAGCTCGAGCTCGTACTCTCGAGGTGTGAGCTTGATGCTTTGCTTTGCTTTGCTTTGCTTTGGATGTACGACTTGTCCCCTCCGAGGCGAGCGATATATATAGGGGAAAAGGGCGGGAAGCGCCAAAGCGCGGGAAAACGGTAGGTGGGTGGGGGTCAAGTGAGCGAGCGAGCGAGCGAGCTGCTGGTTTTCCTCTGCTTCGTTTTAATTTTTGAAAAGTTTGAACAGAGACCGCCTCTCACGCTCATGTGTTGACTGCATGCATGCATATGCTCTTGTTGCTTAGAGTTTGAGGTTGTTGGATTCAGTTATAAAAAGGGAAAAAAACGTGCTCTCTGAATGTAATTAAGTAATTAAACCAAGCATATACTACATAGCATAATACCAAGTCTCGTGATTGCTTACCATGTCGCTAGCTAGTACTCATATTTTAATGCATGACGCCGTTGACTTTTCGATCAACGTTTGACTATTCGTTTCATTTAAAATTTTTATGCAAATATGAAAATATTTATGTCATGCTTAAAGAACATTTGATGACGAATCAAGTCATAATAAAATAAATGATAATTACATAAATTTTTTGAATAAGACAAATGGTCAAACGTTGGAAAAAAAGTCAACAGTGTCATACATTAAAATATGGAGGTAGTAATAATCAATGTATTGATTCAACTGGATGTATAATATGCATACTTTGCTGCAACTTTGTAGGAGAGTTTGGAATTAACAATATGACAATGTGCATGCATGCATGCTAGCTGCATTCGGCAAAAAGTTAACTTTCTATATTGCATATCACCAAATAATAACAGAGTGATTATTGCTGTTGATCAGTCGTCCACTTGTATTAGTGCTGCACTGCTGCTAGCAGTGCAAGACTGCAAGAAAGACAGAGTAACAAACAGAGCAAGCTCAGCTATGCATGGGAATCGATCGAGCTCAACAAGCTAGTCTCTACCAGAAACCAGCTGAAGTTGTTGGGCACATCGATCGTTTCATGGGTAGACTTTTCTTCAGTCTTCATGCAATCTGTATATATGTCCGGTTTGACCATGGAATTTCAGCGAGATTATTGCATGCATGCTACAGCCGGAAAACCATATATAATTTCAGTATTTCCTGCATTGTCCTACTCTGTCCTTCGGCACCAGTTGAGTTACTGATTACTCCATCCGTTACATATTATAAATCGTTTGACTTTTTTTATATTCAAACTTTATTAAGTTTGATTAAGTTTATAAAAAAATTTGGTAACATCTAAAATATTAAATTAGTTTTATTAAATCTAACATTGAATATATTTTGATATATAATATATTTGTTTTGTGTTGAAAATACTACTAATTTTTATAAACTTTTAAAACGTTTGACTAGATAAAAACGGAGGGAGTAGTTAATTAGCAGAGAAATGCATGCAGTCGATCTTTGCTAGCCGAAAAACTAGACAACAAGTCTACATAAATATTTCGCCTTTATTTTGTTCTTGGCGGCGAAGATCACTTTGCTTTGTACTGGGGTCGGTACGGTGCAGCTTCCCTGGATAGTTCTTGCTAGTTCCCTGGATGTACATGTTTAACGTGCTGTACATGTTCGATCTTTTTTTATCATTTCTGATAATGGACATGAAAGAGGCCGGGCTACAATCCCTTTCTCAATGCAAGATCAAAAAACATGTTTTACGTGCATGATAATTACATTATATCTCTGTGTGAAAAGCAGGTCCAAAGTTGAGATGCCAACATGCATTATACTTAGAAAAGTTTAACCGTATTTATAAAAAAATAACAATATTTTTAAAACCAAAAAATATATTCAATGATGGATTTAATAAAATTAGTTTGATCTTGCGGATGTTATATATATTATTACTCGAATTGAAATCGAAGCATGACATTTTCTCATCCGTGAAGAAATCTATATATCATTTGGTAGGTAGGTATCATGTATATATATGCACCCTTGTAAACCATATGTTTGACCGAGTTTAATTACATCCGAATGTCACGAATATACGTGTTTGTTTGACTGACGTAAAATCAATTTCCCAGCTAATCCATCGATCGATACTAAATGGTCGTCCTAGCGCTTTCACATTTATACTTCTTGACTTCTTCAGTATATTCTCTTGATCGATCGTCATCACAAAAATTAAGCTCTCTTGATCTTCCTATGTTTCATTTCTCACTCGTTGCGCGTCGTTTTCATTTTTCCCTTTTCAGGGCGAAGAGGAACTAGATGTTCTGCCTTCTTCGCACGTTCACAAAACGAAATGACGAACCGATATATGATAGCTACTATTTCTGTGTTTTTACTTGATGTTTGGGGATATTGACACGGTCACTCTAATGCACGCACATGTTTCATCATTATATTTTTTTAACTATATATTTATAGTAATTATTAGAATATAATTGTATGAAAGTATTTTTGTAGCTAATTAATGTCTATATCATTTTCACCTACTACTCCTAAATAGTAGTAGTAATAATCATTCTGATAATTAATATTTGACGCTTAAGAGAGGATTCGGTCAACCCCTAAAATTCCGACCATTAATTATATATATATATATATATATATATTAGAATAATTTTATATAAAAAACCTCATAAGTTTATGATGCTATGATAGTATTTTTTAAGACAGTAATATGCTGATATCATCTTTCTTAAAAAAACATTATTTGAGAAATTAATGATGACTAATTTTTTTTAAAAAAATTAACTAAAACTTATTTTAGACGCTAACCATTTATGACCGGTGGTAGTAATTCTGCATCTGTTGATGGATTAAGCTTTGAAGGGTTGAGTTCACGCACTCTAGCTAGGATGTCATCTGGTATTTGGGAATGGGTCGTCCTAAAATAAGTGTAGCCGTGAAAATCCGTAACTAACATTTGACCATCCGTCTTATTTGAAAAATTTATAAAAAAAATTTAGTCACACATAAAGTGCTATTCATGTTTTATCATCTAATAACATTAAAAATAGTAATCATAAAATTTTTTCAAATAAAACGAACGGTCAAACGTTGGACATAAATAGTACAAAACTGTATTTATTTTGGGACGGATGGAATAATTATTACTCTCTATGTTGATTTTTATACGAGTCGTATCTTATATTAATCTATGGCATATGATAGTTGACATGCACGAACAGTAACATATTCCAAGCCGTACCACTGAGTTTTGGCAGTGATCTTGCTAGAGGCGGCTAACATTTTAAAAATACAAATATATTATCAAAAGAAAACAATGAGTAAAGTCCATCACCGGTTCCTAAACTTGTACCGCTGTGTCATCCCGGTCCCTAAACTCGCAAATCGACCGTTCAAGTCCTCAAACTTGTTCGACTGTATCATCCCGGTCCTTAAACTTGCAGATCACTCGTTTAGATCTTCCAACTTGTTTAGTTGTGTCACCTCGGTCCTTAAACTTGGATTTGAATATCATCTGGGTCAAATAGGACGGTCTAAAGACTTTATATTTAAAAATAATTCATAACTTTTTTATGTGAACTCTAATAAAGACAAACTTTATATCAAACTTGTAGCCCTCGACGTGAACTACAACTTTGTAGTTGAATTTTTTTTATTCTAAGTCATTTTTTGTCCCAAAATATAATTTTAAAATTAAAATTTCAAAATCTATAAACATGCAACAATATTTTTGGACCCTAAACAGTTTTAATTCAAAAACTTTTCAACTACAAAGTTGTAGATCTTGTCGAGGGCTACAATTTTGGTGTAAAGTTTGTCTTCATTAGAGTTCATATGAAAAAGTTATGAATTATTTTTTGATATAAAGTTTTTAGACCATCCTGTTTAGGGACCGGGGTGACACAACTAAACAAGTTGGAGGAACTAAACGAGTGATCTACAAGTTTAGGGACCGGAATGACACAGTCGAACAAGTTTGAGGACCTGAACGGTCGATTTGCGAGTTTAGAGACCGGGATGACATAACGGTACAAGTTTAGAGACCGGTGATGGACTTTACTCGAAAACAATTATAGGATGGCGGCCAAGGGAAATTAACTATACTCTGCACATGCATTATAGGTAAGCCGCATGCACATGCATGCATGAAGAGAAAGTAGTCCTTTTTGATGCTTAAACAAAGACAAATTATACAGTTTCATGCATTCAGGATTGGTTGGTGAAATCTACTACCACTTTTAGCATGGACATGTGCCACTTGAAAAGGAAAAAGGAGGGCGAGAAAATTTATGAAATGATTAAAGAGGCCAAATTGAAACAGAGGAGGCATGCAACTTGTGCTAAATGTTTAACTCCGCCGCAGAAAGTAACCCAGTACGTAACGTACGAATAATAGTCTTCTCTCTTCCAGGAACCTTCAAACGTCAAGAAGCTTTTACCTAAGGGGTTCGGTCTCACTAGATTTAGCCATCGATCATATCATACCATGCCGCTAAACGGAAAAAAAAATTCTTGTTTGATATGTCCATCAACACAACACATGATATCTCCGTCTCATTTTAAGTGCAATTATGAGTTTCTGTGTCCATTTTTAACCATCCATCTTATTTGAAAAATTTATAAAAAACTAAAAAAATAAGTCATGCATAAAATATTATTTATGTTCTATCATCTAACAACAATACAAAATACTAATCATAAAAAATTTAAAATAAAACAGATGGTCAAACGTTGAGCACAAATACTCACGATTGCACTTAAAATAAGACAGAAGAGGGAGTACATGTTTGTAGAAAAAAAAAGCATGGAATTGGGCACCGAGCAATTCATACCGCGGCATTTATAAGAGACACCACGATACTTAATTTTGTACTTTCCAAAAATACAGATTTTAAAATTCACTTCTCAGTCTTCAACATTTCTAATAAATTACTCGAGAGTAAATTCATATTTCACGGACAGTAGTTTTGCTGACTCCAGTACCCACGTGCTGTGGACAAATATTCCCTGGCATGCAGGCATGTGCCGGATTGGCTGATTCACTGCCACATACTCCTATATATGTATACACAAGGAACTCTTTGTCGGGGATCCAAATAGCATACGGAATATAGTGAAGTTTAGCTTATTGTGGTAGCACA